CACTCATTAGGTGACAGACACTGCTCTTTAGCTCTATGTTCATTAAGTTATCTCATCCTCTGGTATATACCGTATTCATCAACCACAGTTTGTACAGAGGAACAAACTGAGTTCATAAAAGACAATTCACCTAAGGTCAGACAGATAGGAAGTGGCAGAGGTGGCTCAGTCCCTGTAAGTCTCTCAGCCTGGATTGTAGGAACCAGCCCACACGGGAGAAGAAAAGGGAACAAGGCTGTGATTGACAGCAACCCTAAACAGGCTCAGGAGATGTTAAAGTCAATTTATTCAAAATAAAACAACTTTCAAAGACTGAAATGGAACAAACCATAAACAATGTACCTTCTTGAATTTCTTTTGCTAAAGTAAATCATTTACAGCTACTTTTATACATATCAAAGTTCATAAAAGTTTCATACCGTAGCATTTCAACCTTTTGTTTTCCTATAAGTTTTAAAGAAAAGAACTCTTAAATTGATTTTTATTTATTCACGAGCAGTGTAATAAAGTCAAACATCTACTTTCTTAAAAACACTAAAACACACTTATTCTTACTTTTCTCATATACACCAATCTCTTTCCATAGTATTGCTTATTGACAAAGGTATTCTGTATCATTGTTCTTTAGGTTTGTCTCTCAATTGGCTAGTTCCTCCAAGGGGCAGAGCCTGCTGAGGAGCATGGACTACTGAGGGGCTGCTGGGAGCCGTCTTGGGACAGAAGCCAGAAGCCAGGAGCTGCGGGCGCTAGTGGTGGCAGCCCAGCTCAAGGACAAAAAGGCCTGACTCTTATGGACCTGGGGCGAGATCGCTGACTCCAGAGGCATGAGCGAATGCTAGCGGTGACTATGGACTTGGCATGGTCTGATATGGCAGGCTCTGAGCACTCATTCCTTTGTAAGTTAATAAAATTCACATAAAGATATGTTATATGGTTTGCTTGATAGCACAGGAGACCCAGGGAACTTGGGGGACAAGGATCCAGTGAACTATTCTAAACTTTTCTAAACAGTTGTTTATAGCTCTGAAAACAAAAAAAGGATATACAGGACCAGATTCTATCAGAACCTGGTAAATTTTTTTTACAAGAGAAAAATGGTCTGAGTCTCAGATACTCTTGTCTAACAATACCAATTTTTCACCTCCATTTTTCTAATTTAAAAGAAAAAGATCTGTAAACACGGTTTACTTTTACACCAGATTTTCCCATGGTTCTGAGGAGCTGAATTCTGGCCAGAGGAGCCACTAAGGACAGAACATTCTACGGAGGCAGAGGAGGGAGAAGAGAAGTAGGTACCACAAATGATGGCCACTCCCAGTCCCCAAAACTAATTTTGGTTAGCTATGTAAATCTGTTTTGCTGTAAAATTCTTTCCAGAGTCAGAAGCATGCAGTACCCAGAGAATCAAGCAACTACCCAGGCTTATTCCAGTATCACCAAGAGGCCATGCTGAAAGTACCTAGGCTTCCTAAAATTGTATTCTTAACTGAGGTCCCTCCACTCATGGAAATGAGAGTTAAGAATGCACCTCAGAATTCCTTTTCTGAGGTTACTGTCTCTGTTCTTCCTGGGTTCTATGTCCGAAGGGATTTTCACAGAAGCTGCCCCAGGAGAAGTTGAGGGTCAGGTGTGCTGCCTTCTCCCCCTCTTTCCTGTAGAAGCTGGCTGGGCACACTGGCACTTCTCATCCATGGACTCCCCTCCCAGAGGGTTGTGACAGAAGTTCACAGAGCACTTTCATAGGACTGCACTCTGAAAAAATCCATAGCATTATCTGGACATGGTGACTTGTGCCTGTAATTTTGCCACTTGGGAAACTGAAGGAGAATTGTAAATCTGAGGCCAGCCTAAGCTAACTGTGAGACTCCTTACAAAACATACCCCAAAATTCATAGGATTACTACAAAAAGAATAAACCAATAAAACAGCCCCTCTTGAAATTTTTCCTTTTGGAAAAATGAAAAAAATAATTTCTTTCACAGAAAAGGTTTTTAATTTTCTGATGTTGGGAATTTAGTTTTTACATACCTGGACGCATATGTTCACATATAAATACATGTGTATAGATGTAGATGTATATATATGCATACTTTAAGATTTAATAAAAATATACTTAACATCCAGTAAGCGACATTCCAGCTAGTCTTTTCAGATTAGTTTTGTAAATTCTGAGAAACACCTTCTCAAAGCACCATCTATTTTTTAATGAAATTTTACTATTTTTATTTTATATGTATGTGTGTACTGCCTGCATGTACGTAAGTGCACCCGTGTCGTGCAATGCCGGCGGAAGTAAGAAGAAGCTGTTGGATCCCCTGTAACTGGAGCTACGGACAGTTGTTAGCTGCCATGTGGGTGCTGGGATTCGAACCCAGGTCTTCTGCAAGAACAACCAGTGTTCTTAACCACTGAGCCATCTCTCCAGGCCCAGCATCCAGCAATATCTAGCCTACTGAGCAGATTTCCTGTGTTGAGTCTGTACCTCGTAGAAGAGGCCCTCTTGGGTGAGTGACTATTGTCTGTTCACTGCCAATAGCCAACAGTCATATCATAGCCCCTCAACTTTATGCACCAACTGGCTAAGAAAGAAAATCCTCAGGTTTCAAGGCTAATTTAGAAGGACCAAATGGCTCATCAGTTAACTTAATGGCAAACCTAAGTCATATTAGTTAGTTCTATGATGTTTTGACATTTAGCCAAATTTCCTTCATTCCCAGAGTAAAAATATGTCTGCTTTGCCTTTTTTTTTAAATGAACGATAATTTAACTTTATGCTAAAGATTCACCTTGAACTCATCAGTCATACAATTATTAAAGAAAACTTGTAAAACAGAATTCGGCTTTTGGCTGTTAGTTCACGTGTGGGGCACTGCAGCTGACATGCAAGGTGCTCATACAAGCCAGCAAGACTGAGGGCATTTAGACTTGCTGAATCCCTGCTCTGTGTAATCACTTGGCTCGTCCTTTCCTAAGGGCACGGAGTCATCGCCTATAGCTAAACCACTCCACTCTTGGGTCAGCAGACAATATGGGCGGAATTGCAAAGGATGCTGTGGCTTGGGTGTGGTCACCGGAGAAGGGAAGCACTGGTCCCCGGCTGCAAAAAACCAAGAGCCGCACCCTTGGCATGTAATGCCATCACCGCTGCTTCCTCAAAATTTAACCCAAACAGCACCAGCCCAGATGGCTCCCCCTAGGAAGCACAGCCGCCCCTAGACTCGGGCGGTCTGGGCAGACAAAGCCGGAGCCCGCTCTGCACCGCGGCGACCTCCGGCCTCCGGCCTGTGGGACTTGCAACGTCGCTCCGCGCCACTAACCATCATCATTGGTCTCGGCTGCCCATCAATGGCTTGGAGGCGACAGAGACGCCTTAGCCGGCAACGCCAGAAGTTGGGGGCGGCGGCTGTCCCCGAGCTCCACACTCTGGGGGAAGCGAGCGACTCCTACTCGGAATTCCTTGCGGTGCTAGGTGCTCCACCGAAAGCCAGAGACAGCACGTGCTCTGAGGGTTCTCCAGTATTTTCTGCACCAGAACACTGCACACGTGAATTCTGGGTGGGTGGGGGTTGCTACGATGCCGCGCGGGCAACATACACGCTATTGTTCTCAGGGTCTCCGGAGATGCTGCCCCCCTCCCCATTCTGCCTCCCAGGCAGCATCTGCCGCTGGGCAAAGCCTTTCAGCTCCCTGAACAGGGTGTGCCAGGGGCGCTGCGGATTATCACAAAACCCTAAACGAGTCCCTAGGGACTGTTCCAAGCATGGAAACAAAGCTCCTACCCAGCCAGTCAGCCTAGCCTGGTCTGGGACCCGCCATCCGAAGTCCCTTGCCGAGTCCAAGGACCACGCCCAGCCAGCCACTTGGGCCTTCGGACTGCACGCCTAGAGCTGAGGGGCTTCAGACGGAAGACTAGCTTCTCAGTTGCCTGCCCCTCCCCCGACGGAGAACCCCCCCTTCCCCAGTAGGACTCCTCCCCCACACAGCGCCGGTCCCCCTCCCCACCCGCATCTACGGTCCTCGAACCCCAGCGGCCTCCACCCTCCTGCATCCCTCCTCCCCTCTTCATTCTTCACACCAGCCTTGCCTGGCGCCACCTGCCCAGACCGCCTTCCTCTTCTCCCCAGACCCGACCCGCCATCCACTGCTCGTTCCTTCCCCAGCCCCCTCCCCCAGACTCCACCACCTGTCCCCACCCAGCTCCCCATCTTTGCTCACTGGCCTCCGCCCCCGCCCCCGCCTCGCCCCCTTTCAGCTTTTCCGCAGCTCAGATTCCCGCCAGCTACACCGGTCCAGGGCGTCGACGTCCACCAAGATCGATGCTGCGTGGCGGGTTCGGTGGCAGGGAGAAGGGACCCAGCTCCTCGCCGGCCAGGGGCTCGGCGGCTGCAGGAGGCCTTTGTGGTTCCGGCAGGTGCCTCGAAGGCGGCGGGAAGAGTCCTCCGCTTGCCCCTAGCTCTGCTGGACCGACAGATGGTACAGACCATCCGGTTTGGTTCAGGTTGGGCAGATCTCAACCGGTAGGCGAAATGGACCGACGACGTGTATCTAGCCGGTGGTTGGGAACCAAGGACAGCGGCTATCTGGGGACACTGGAGGACCGGCCCGCCACCAGAAAAACAATCCCCAGCCCCCACCCTCCTAGGCATTTATTGCACGTCGACTCGCTAGCTTAGTGAGCCTACTGTGTGCTCGGCGCGAATCCCTTCCACTCCGCCGCCTCCTCTATTTGTAAATCTCTCTAGCTCATATTAAATGCCAGGGCACCGCAAGGCACCGCACCGAGCTCTGTGGGAGTACAAAGGACCGGACTAGCGCCCAGCAAAGCCCGGGTGACCGCCCCCAATTCCGAAACACTTCCCTCCGCGGTCCCCTCAGCCAAGCCCCTGGACGCACCCCAATTCCCTCCCTTTTGTGTGCTTAGGAAGAAAAAGCGAGCGCTCGGGACGCATGCCCCAGCTCAGGGAGGGTAAGCCCACCGCCCTCCCCTGACCATCACCCACTCCTCCAGGATGCTGCGGCCGTGCGGGTCCGTCGTTCGGTCTCCGGGTCTCGCCGCGGCGCGGTGGCTGGGGTTGCACAGGGCGGTAGCCGCTGCTAGCGCGCTCGCTCGGTGGCCGCCTTAGCGCGCCTAGAGCTGGAGTCCTGAGTGGCGAGCGGGGGAGGGGACCCGAGTGGGGGCTGGTAGCGGCCTCGGCCAATCGCCGATCCGCTGGCTCCGCCCCAGCGCTCCCCACCTCGCGCTAGCAGGTTAGCGAGAGGCGGGGACAGTCAGCGCCCCGCATCCTCCCTGCGGCTGCCGCCTTGGGACTACAACTCCCGACAGTCCCTGTGGCAGGGCCAGGGTCCTAGAGGGGACCGAGGGCACGGCCCCCAAAACTCGGCACCCCCCCCAACCCTCTAGGCGCCATTCTCCGCGTTCCTTTCGGGTTCCATGGTAACCAGCAACACTTCACAAAGCCTCGTCGCTGAGACTCTCTAATGCACCAGTCCCCGGAGGGTACGGGGCGGGTCCCGAGGACACACCGCCTCCCCTCCCCCTGCAAGACCCCACCCGCGGGGCTGAGACAAAGCGGCGGCGGGCTCTTGGAGCTGCTGCCCGGCTGCCCTCCGCTGCCCGGCCCGGGGTTGCAGGCTGGAGAGGGCGAAAGTGGTCGTTCCTGGAAAACTATTCTCATGGACAACGTGGATGGCCACTCTGGGCCGCCTCAATTCGCACCTGCTCTTGAGGACTCGAAGCCACAGTTCGTTCTCCGAATAGCTACAATTTTACCTAGCGCTGCCCTGGAGCTTCTGTATGCAGCGCTCAAACTCAAGATGCGTATCCTGTTTCTGACAGTTCTTAAAAGACGGTGAAACCTCTGGAAATGTTTTGTAACCCAATTTGCATTAACTTCACCTATTTTTATTTTAATTTAATTCTAGTTTATTGAGATAAAGTCTTGTTATGTAGCCGAAGCTGACCTGGAATTTACGGTTGTGCTCATGCCTCTGCCTCCCGCTTGTTGAGATTACAAATCAGCATACCTGGCCCAGTTTCAGCTTTTTAATATACGTGATTTAAACTAAAACAACTCCATAAAAGGAGTAGGAGGGGCATCCCTGCTTGTCCTACCTCTCTGGTTAATTCCCGGCTCAGGCTTTTACGGTAGATCTTTCTTATCTGTAGTTGCCATACTAACTTAAAGCTTAATAATTTGCCTGTTTTCACTTGATGTCACCCCAAAGGCGTGGCGAAACGGTGTCGAAACGCAGCATCAAGTCCTCACCCCCACCCCCACCCCCACCCAGTATTCCCAACTGCTGAAGAAACACCTTGTTTCCAGGGATTCCGTGGGTGTGAACCCCCAGGCTGCCTACTTGGGCGATTTTCTCCACGGGAAGTTTTCAAAGAAAATCCGTACTTTATGAGTCTCGGGAGATGAGCTGGGTGCAGGGTCTTCTTTGAGTTGCAACCAAATCTTCGGTCTGCCAAGGCGGGGGTCCCCTTGGGCCGTGTTCTCTGTGCCCCTTTCTGGATGAGCTTAGAACCAGCCAGGCTGCATCTAAGGAGATGGAAATCAAGATCGCCCCACTGGGTTTCCACTTCTGAAAAGATGGTGGGCTTCTCTGCCTTCGTCCCCGGGGTCCCTCGTAGTGAGCTTTGGAAAGCCTATGGCCTACCCCAAAGCACCCCCACACTGGAGAGCCCGAGATGTGTCTGTGAATGTGGCTCCAGCCTGGGGGACTGCCTATGGTTTCACCAGACTGTCCAGGCTCTGCCAGGACCAAAGCTTCAGGCGCAACGGATGGAATATCTGGAGGTGGAGTTAACACCCACCAGTTCCACGGAGCACGTCCTCTGCCTGGCAAGCGCGTGCCTTGCTGAACTTTTTTGCCTAAGGCGAAGGGAGCCTCCTAGTGGCAGCCAGCGTTTTCTGCGGCGTTTAGTGGCGCTCCAATTTTAACTCTTTCTTGGATCTGCCTGTTTCTGATAAGAGACAGGACTGTTTTCAGGTCGTAAATTAGCCTGGGACATTAATAAAATTTGTACACAAATCTGAGGTTTCAAGCATCCTCAGTACCTGATTTTAGCTTTTTTGTTTATTAATCTAGGCTCTCTTCTGGGAAGTAGAAAGAACCCAAAAGTTTAGAATCATTTATCTTGGATTAGAATCTTTGTATCTATTACTTTCTAGCTTGACCTTGGCAAAGTAGCCTAATTCTGAGCCTGAGTCTATTCACACACCCCCTCAAAATCATCATGCATTCTTTTAACCCTGATGTGATCGTTTCATGAGGAAATGCATATAAAGGGCATAGCCTACTGCCTAGCATACATAACATACACACACAATGCAACTGTTAATATTTATTCAGCCAAAGTGGTTATAGAACAGTGTGAAGGACATACGACATATGACACTCCCCACAAGAATACCACAAAAGGCAATTTAATGTGATAAATAAAGCTCCTATAACAAGGTTGGATAAAGTAGACTAGGAATCAGATAAGAGAACCCTATTCTGAACACATCACCAGAGAATGAAGGAGCCAGATTTGAATTTCATGTGGATATCGACTTGATGGGTGGTCCTGAGCAGAAGTCTGAGATTCCAGGGTGAAGGAGTAAAAACTGTGGACAGAGAACCCAGAAGTGCTTGGGAGACTATTGAGGGACTCACTAGAGCTTAGAAGTCAAGAAGACCATGAACGGAGGTGGTGGATAGAGAAGCAGGTGGGCTGGTGTGGGACCAGACTTCACAAAGCCCAGGGCTACTGGATGTTATGAGTCCATATGTACTAGGTTTGAAATAGCCTTAGCAAATGAGACTAAGGGAGAAGCTAGAGACAGACATAAATGCAGAAAGGAGAGTCACCATTTCTAAACTCCTGCTATGAGCAGGGTCTATTAGATGTTTTACATTATTTAGTCCTTATAGCTCCACTTGGCATGTAGCATTATTCATTTCTTTTTTTTCTTTTTTTCTTTCTTTCTTTTTTTTTTTTTTTTTTTTTTTTTTTTTTTTTTTTTGAGACAGGGTCTCCCTGTAGCCCCAGCTGTCCTGGAACTCACTATGTAGACGAGGCTGGCATTGAACTCATAGAGATCTATCCACCTGCCTCTGCCTCCCAAGTGCTGGGATTAAAGGCATGCGCCGCCACGCATTATTCATTTCTTAAGGATTAGAAGACCCAAACTTGGTGTGAGTTGCCCAGAAAGTCATATTGGTCTATGAAGCAGAAGAAGGATTCCAAAAGAACCTTATCTCCCTGATGGAAAGCCCAGCTCTTAGGCTCTAGCGTGCCCCTCCTCCCACCCCAGAAGGCTGACTCTACAAAACAAAGACTGCTCTGACCGTAAATGACCCAAAGACATTGCTAAGCCAATGGCCACAGATGTTCCATCCTCCTTAGTTTCAACTGTATCACCCTGGTGCCCTCTGGGAAACGGCTTCTCCGGTATTCTGAGAGGTTCTATGTTAAGATTCTTCTTCAGCTTACTCTTTTCCCTTTTTGCCACCTCATATTTCTCAGTGACAACCCTAGAATGGGGAACATGCTTTGAATTCTACTTAGCCATTAAAATAATTGTGAGCTAACAGTCAAACCTCTATATCAGGGTCAGTGTCACAGAACAGAAGCCAAAACAGGGACAGAAAACAGCGAGACTGAGAGTGAGATCACAAAGAAAATCTAAAGGAAAATCTAAAAACCTGTAGCGACAAGGCTGGAGGTATAGCCCAGTGCCTCCCATGTGTGAGGCCCTAGATTCAGTCCCCAGTACAAACAAGCAAACAATAAACAAATCAATAATTAGATATACAAACACAGACAATGGGAAATGAGAGCCAGACCACCCAGCCTGACACAGGAGACATAGGAAGTGGGTGCTTAGCTAAAAACATCAAATTCTAGTGGGTTATCACTGCTTTGAAATGCTGAAGAGCTCTCCAATAATTTAGATCAGTCCCTCTAGCCTATGGAGTGGTTTTATTTATTCATTTTTAAGTTTCAAAGTTTGATCTAATATAAAAGTTTGTCTTCTCTTTCAGAAAGCAGCAGCAAGAAAGAATCACAGGATGATTCCAGCTGCCTTAGCCCCATGTTTGAAATCTACAACTTTAAACTTGCATTTATTTCATACATACAGAGAGAGATTCTTAAACTCAAAGGAACCAAGAAATTACAGAGTCTCACACTGTCAACATTATACAGATGTGAATGAAGCTTTGTTTTATACTCTCTTCTTCCCGAACAAAATTCGTTTGTGTATTAGCAAGAATAATAATGAGATCAGGAAACCTAACTCTTATAAACAACCACCTTCAGAGAACAAAAGAGTTTAATAGTTAGATCTCTAATCATCGTTTTTTCTGCACCTGTCACTCTCCACCGCACAATGCTTCATTAAGCCTTACCAATGTGAGGAGCTGAGGACAGAGGAAAGGATCCCCTCCCACTACCTATCTCCACTGTCTATCTGCTACTTGCTATTTGCTTTTGCTTGCTATATACTTCATAAACTAATCCAAAGCCCAAAGTACAGCTGTTATGGACCATACAGAACACCCACTGAGCCATTTCAGTGGACTAAGTTGATGAGATTTAGAATTACCATGGAAACAAATTTCTGGGCATGTCTATGAAAGATTAGGTTATTGAGGTAGGAAGGCCCACTCTAAATGTGGGCAGTACCATTCCACCAGCTGTGGTCCAGGACTTCATAGAAGAAAATAAAACAGCTGAGTATATACATTCATCACCCTCTGCCTCCTGACTGCAGATGCAATGTGGGCAGCTACTTCAATTTCCTGCCACCACGCCTTCCCTCCATGACTGACTGTGCACTGGATCTGTGAGGCAAAACAAATCCCTTCTTTTCCTTAACTTGATTCTGTGAGGTTTTTGTAGCAGCAAAAGACAAATCACTAATAGACCAACTCATTAATCCACTCACTTCAATTGTTGAACTCAGAGCCACTTAAATTTTCTGTTATATAACCTTTATCTGCACAGTTTTATCTCTAGACCACTTTGAATCATTGTTTGTGAAAGGTACAAGGTCTGTGTCTCCATCTTTTATTTTTCTTGCCCAAGTATGCCTATTTGCTCCAGCATCATTTGTTGAAATAGTCATCCATCCATTTCCACTGAGTTGCCTTTGCTCATTGCTAAAGATCAGTTGCTTACATTTCTGTGGCTCTCTTTTCCTGGGTTCTATTCTGCTTACTTGATGTATTTGTCTATTCTTTTACATTGTCTCAGTTATTCTATCTTTATAGTAAAATCTTGTTAGTTTATGGGGGAGTGGTTCAAATGCCAGAACAGTTGATTTATTTGAAAACTCCAGACAAGAAGGGGTAATACCCAAAGAGCAGGCTTCTTGGTTACAGGAACTTAAGCAAAAAATTCTAAAATGCTTTAATGGGAACACTTAGCACAATGCTTGATGTTTAATAAG